ACACACACACACACACACACACACACACACACACACACACACACAAACTTCTGTAGTTTTTCCCAGATAAACATTTGGATCAGGGTTCAACGCCAAATGGCTTTGCCCCTGGCTTGCTAGGTGGGGATGCCACGAAGCTTTTCCAACACACTGAGCAACAAAGACTTGTACTGAACCAGATTGTCGAGGCAGCGGTTTCTCTGGATTAGCCCACAAGTCTGGCTGCTGGACTCCTTTGATGACTTGGATCTACACCAAGCCCAGTTAAAACTCTACGTTATCCACATGGACCACTCCCGTTATTGCTTGGACCAGTTTCCGGCTCCTTCGTTCCCTGGACACGTTTCCTACTGCCTCAGAGCCTGCCAAAGCAAGTGTGTGTAGGGCACGGCTTTCACTGGCACCATAATGGTGCAAAGGCTACACACAGGCACACCACAGTTCCTTAGGGGTAAGCCTGGGTGGGGCGTGCGAGCCAGGACTGAGTGGCGGCAGAACTGGGCGGGCTCAATCGGGACTGCGCAGACTCAGTCCTAAGTGCTACATTTTCCAAAGAGGGAAAGGCTTGGCTTGCATCGGTCCCACCGTTTTTTGTTGTTACTCGGTGCCTGCCTTTCTCCCAGCACCTTAGCATCTAAGGATGAAGAACAGGAACCCGACGGCGGGCTCCAGGGTTGCCTGGATGGCTGCGCTAGCAGGTTCTGGCGTGGGGCGTGGCATCCCAGGCCTCCCTAGCACCATACCCCAAACCCACAGCTACCGTGGCAACACTGCCCCCCCCACCCCACCCCCCGCTCTTGAAGGTGACTCGAGGAACAGCTTCAAATCACACAAGTTCAAGAAGCGCACCTCTCCGCTGGTTTCTGATGGCTGCTGGGGGTGGGGTGGGGGTGTGCCACCGGAAGTTGACGACACAAGAGCAGCCTGGGGGGGGCCCTTTGGCACTTGAAATCAAGGCTGTGTTGAAACTGCTCTGTGTGGGGCTCAGGGGTGCCATGAGGGTTGCTAGGCTATGCTAAACGGGTGGCATTTTGGTTGAGTCTGCACAATTAAGATAATCGTCCAGCTTGTCGAATTTAGAAAAAGCCCAGCGCCCCCTAGCTGCACTTTGGAATAACATTCGGTAGCTGGCTCGCCATACTACCAGGGCAGAGAAGCACGAGAATAACTGGGATTTTAGAACGCTCTTTTACCAAGCCTCAGGAGAACGCCTCCAGAGGCACCCAGAGAAGCCCGCCCGACTTCCCTGAGTCTCCTGGGGTGGGTACTGAAGCTGCTACAAGAAGAGCCGACAGTCCTGACTGCTTGGTGGCCCCAGTGACGTCTATAAGTCAATCCCTTGTACCCTTCAGAAATACCTCTAAAAACCTCTGCCCTCTTCCCTGCACCGTCGAGGAAAATACTTGCTTTTATTTCTCTGGCAACAGACCAGTCTCCAGTCTGTAAGTAGGAAAGGTGGACATGCAAGAGAAGAGATTGTTAGCGGTCCCCAGGAGGCGGGCGACACCTGCTTACTTTTTCTTATCCTTGTCCTTCTTGGTCTGCTGGGCCCCGGACTGCTGGGCCTGGGACTGCAGGAGCTGAGCGGCCGCCTTCTTCTTCTGGAAGTTGCTCACCTCCTCCTCAAGCTCCTTCTTCTTGTCTTCCACCTTTTTCTTCTCCTCTTGGTGTGTCCGCTTCAGGAGGTCGAACTTCTCATGAAGCTGGGAGGGATAAAGGAATAAACCGGGCTCGGCGAAAGGCATAAAAGTCTGAGCAGCACAGGCTGTGTGGGCCTGCGCAAAACCCCAGCGGGCGGTCCACAGCTGGAGGCGGACTCTCAGCTCCTTCTCCAGCACCATGCCTGGGTAACACCATGCCCGGGTGCCGCCATGCTTCCTGCCATGATGATAATGGGCAACACCTCTGAGGCTCTAAGCCGGCCCCCAGTTAAATGCCTTCTAACAGAAGAGTTGCTGGGGTCCTGGGGTCTCTTCACAGCCATACAAGAGTGACTAAGACAAGCCTGAAGTATCTGGGTGGCTTATGGAGAGGTAAGGTGAGGCTGTTGAGTCCTGAGCATCTGTTACTTGAGCTCCTAGAGGCTAAACATCTCTTGGGTACTCTCTATGCTAATAAGGTACTTATTTAATTATTATTTTTGGTATTTTGAGACAAAGTCTCTCTATGTAGCCCTGGCTATCCTGGAACTTATTATGCAGACCAGGCTGGCCTCAGATTTGCAGAGATCTGCCTCTGCCTCCTGAGTGCTGGGACTAACAGCATACACTACTATACCCAGAAATAAGGCACATGATGTTTGAAAGCATCAAGACGGCCAGCAAGGTGGCTTACTGGGTAAAGGTGCCTGATGCCAAGCCTGACCTGAGCTTGGTCTCTGGAACCTACATGGTAGGTGAAAACGGATTCCTTCAAGTTGTCTTCTGATCCACCCCCCTCCCACACACAATTTTAAATAATGTAATTTTTTTTAAAGCATGAAAAGGGTAAAAATTAACCATGAGCCTAATAACAAAGTCACCCTTTTGACTTTTGTGTGTTCTTGTTTCCAGGCCTTTAGGAGCACATATGAAATACTTAGAGATTACAGTGTTCACACACACATATATTTTAGCTGTACACACACTAACAGTCTAAATAAGAAGAATAACTTCTAACATTTGACAAAACAAAAACAAAACCCACACTTGTGCCAGTGTGAAGTCCCACGAATTACAAAGTACTAATAAAAAGGCTGCCTCTAGTTTCGGCCTCCTGGAGGACAGACAGAGCCTCACCTCTTTCTCCGCCTCCTTAAGTTCCGCCTCCTTCTCCTTCACTCTCATGACAAACATCTGCCTCATCTCCTCCTCCTTCTTCTGCAGCTCTCCCAGGAACTCGTTCCTTTTTGCTTCATACGTCTCCTGCAGGCTATGAAGACCCACAAACCAAGACGGGGCATGAGACGGCATCAGACGTTTCAGTTCATGTCCCTTCTCCCCTTTTCTCATTCCAAAAGAGAAACAACTGCCGCTTTACCACACTAAAGCGCAAACGAAATGAGTTTTCCTCTTCTTTACGCTGAGATTGCAGAGACCACTATGTCCAAAAGCGTAACGCAGCGCCAGAGGCCTGCGGCTAACCAGCCAGGATTTCAGAGTTCTGCAAGATGGCGGGGCCTAGTATCATAGGTGAAAATGCAGGAGTTGGAGACAGGCAGAGCAGCGCGGTCATTCTGGCCTCACCAACGGGCTGACCTTGGCAGGCACAGCTCGCTAGTCCCCTGCACAGGGGTTTCAGACGCAGTAGCACGTACCTCCCTGAGACGAGACTGTGCGAATGAGTTATGAGGAAATTGAGAAAAGCATCTGACATACAAGCAGTGCTTACTGAGGACTTCCCTCCCCCGTGCATCTCCCTCTAACCCACGACGACAAGGAGAGGGACAGCCTTAGTGAGAAGACCGCCTTCTAAACGTGGGGCAGGAAACCGGCGCTTCTCAAGCCACATTCCAATTTTAAGTGCTGTGGGGAGGAGTCTTAATTTCAACTGGAATCCTGCACTCTCCCTCTCTACAGAACTCAGAGCCTGCGTTTCATACTGAACGTCCTGATGCCACTGTATCTCCGTCAGAACAAAGACACTGATAGAGAAGCAATGCTTTCTGTATCACGAAGGACCCCCGTCCCCTACACATGCACCGCAAAGAAACAGTAGCTGGTGTTTATATGGCACTGCTTTCTCTGTTGTAGTTTATGTAGGACAGCTGAGCGGTAACAGAGCCTGCAGGTGGAGTCTACCTTTGTCACAGACCAAACTTCCCCGAGGGCATACTATACTACAGACTAGAAAGCACCATGGATACCTCCAGGCACCCTGTCGGGCGGCTCACAGAAGTCACACCTGTCCACTGAGGCGGTTTATAAGGCAGGAAGGCCCAGCGGGGAGCCCTCTGCTGGGGGAACTGCAACAAGTAGACAGCTACAGTCACACTGGGTCACACTGCAAAGTGGTTTTATTTTTGTTTGTTTGTTTTTTTTGTTTGTTTGTTTTTGAGACAGGGTTTCTCTGTGTAGCTTTGTGCCTTCCCTGGAACTCACTCTGTAGCTCAGGCTACAGCCTCTACCTCCCGAGTGCTGTGATTAAAGGCGCACTGCGCCACCACTGCCCAGCCTAAAGTGTTTTGTATGTGGAAAGTTCAATCCAAACTTGGAATAGCTATGTCTGTCCTAGACAAAGCCATACTGAGTGTCAGATCGGCCTTAGGCAAGACTATCCCAGCTTTGAGTCTGGTGAATGTTGACATCCAGGAGCAAAGGATGAAAAGGGGCTCCACAAATGCCGCTCAGTTGTTCTGCTGTATCCTAGGGTGTGAACTAGCTTTTGAACTCTAACACAGGAACCATGATCATAGCGATGGACGAGACCAATGTCCAAAGCCTTTGGTTACAAAGGACTCAAAATGACTTGACTGTCTCCAGGTATGGGACCCTACCCAGCTCAGAAGAGTCACTACGTGCACAGCATGCTGAGGGTCACCACGGCAATGGCACCATTGGCAATCCCCAGCTTCAAACTGCAGCCACTGACTCCCTTTGCCAAGTGAGACACTGTGGTCACCACGCAAGGTTTTCAGCTGGTCCCAGTGACCTGATCTTCTCTTTGGAAGCCCAGGGGAGAAGGTTTTCTTTGCTGGCATCAAGGAAAGGGATAGCAACACAGACACCCGAATCTTAGTGGTTCACAGAGTGGCTTCTTCCTTGTCTGACTCTCCTGGAACCATCTGAGAGAAGGCATGCCAGAGTCTGGTCACTGTCACCAGGACTTACGGAGAACTTTATACACGCGAATGCATTCACCCTCATAATAAGGCACTAGTAGACATCTCCCATTCCCCATCTTACAGATGGAGGGATGTGGACACAGGGTAGCCACCTGCCTTGGTTGTATCATGAAGATATGAAGGCACCAGGATCGAACCTGCTGAGATGGGAGCCCTACCCACTTTCATTTGGCTGGTGAACCAGGGCCTGTACATTCCTAAAACAGGCCTGAGGACTCTGAAAAGAGGGTGGTCCCCGAGCATTTTCTTGGGAATGTCATAAAGGGCAATGGCATCTCAGGAGAAAAGCCCAGGAACACATGACTAGGCCCCATGGTATCCTTGGCCCCTCCTAACTCATCCTAAAATGCCAGCTGGAAAGGGGCTGGGGGAGGGAGAGACCTTGGCCCAGGAAGGTCTTGGGCGCTCTGGCTGGCAGAACCGAGTTCCAAGGGTACAGAGCCACATGCATAGAGGCAAATGGGAAAGGTGGGCAGAGGCAAGAGCGGCTGGTGCCCAGGTATCCAGGTAATCTGGAGGACTAGACAGGCACACATCTCAATCTAGGTGGGCTTGAGGACAATACCAGGACCACAAGCGAGCTCTGGTACTCTCCCTGGTACTACGCAGCTCTACTCTACGTGGCCTCACACTGGCTTCCACTACTAGAATCAGCGACCCAATAAAGAGGCATCGGAAGGTCACGGCATTGCCCAAAAGGAAGAACCAACTTCACTGTGCAGCCTCACGGGAAGCCTCGGCGTGAAGAATTTGGAAAACTTTCTGTCTCTCACTTCTCCGAGTCACCCTGAATTCACCCGGGGAGGGGAGCTCCCGAGCACATCCAGGAGTATTTTCATCTTGAGGGATCTGAGCTCAATATAAAGGTGAGTAGGAAGTTACGGTTAAGGTTTTAACGTCAATGAAATTATTACTGGCCGTGAAAGAAACAACACTGAATTACTAAATGAAGACTGTCATAGCTGACTCTACTGTAGTTCTTTTTCTGGTGGCACAAACCTTTAATCCCAGCCCTAAGAAGGCAGAGGAAGGTGGAGCTCTGTGAGTTCGAGCCCAGCCTGGTCTATATGGCGAGTTACAGGTCAGTGAGGATTGCACAGTGAGACCCTGTTTACAGAAAAGAGCCCGAGAAGACACTGGTGTGGTGTGAAGGTTCAGACTCTGAGGTCCGTCAGCTACTGGGTACTTTTTCTGCTCACTTTGTCCGAGGTAGACTTGAGTGCAATGAGAACATTAAATGTTGGCATTTGAAGAAGGGAAAGCATCTGGGAATGGTGCTGTCAATGGTCAACTGTGGTTTCCGCCTGCCTTAAGTTCGGGTACCCTTGTGACCCTGTTCCCCCGCTCCTCTGTCCCAAGGGCTCAGGAACTGCTGCAGGCCCAAGAGTCCCCAAGGGAGGGGCTGAGCTCCCAAAGCAGTGCTTTCAAGAGAGGATGTCACACTCACTTCACACTGGACCAGTCGGGTCCCTGTGGTGAGCCTTCCCACAGCAAGGGGGACAGCTGCGTGGGTGACTGTACAAGGGGGAACCACCTCCATTCTAGATGGAAAACCCTGCCCTAGTTACTGCGGTAAAGGAATGAATATATTTTTGAAAGCTCGACTTCTGCCTTTGTTTTCTTAAACATGGGCCTTGGTCATAACGTTTATGGGTCTTGGTCATAATGTATATAGGGGCCTTGGTTATAATGTATATGGCCTTAGGTAATAATGTATATGGGCCTTGGTAATAACATATAGGTATAAACATTTCCCCATTTCAACATCAAAAAGGAAACTTAGGCCTGCAGAAATGGGATCAAATGGGAGGGAGGTGGGACCCTCACTTCAGTCTCCTGCTATTTGAGGCGGGGAAGATGGCGTAGCCTGAGTAGTAGGCTGCCCAAGCCCGGCCGGACCTACCCTGCTGCACCTTCTCCAGGCAGGCCTTTACCTTGGGCTCGTAGGAGTTGCCTCAATAAAAATGCCAGCAAGAGTCAGCGGGGTGACGGGGTGATGACCAGACGGACAGACGGATGGACTGCTTGCCTGCACAGGCAGGAAGGCAGCCCTGGCCATCTTTTTGATGAAAGGCAGACAGACCACCTGGCTCTTTCTGGTGTTGGCAGGTACAGGTAGCATCCCAGACCCTCAAATCTCTCAAATTCCAGGACTTAAAAGAACACAGGTGTGCAGAATGGTTTTTAACACCATGAGAGGCAAATTACCTCTAATAACCTAACCTGCAAGGAGTCCAGGCTGTGACCTAGTCCAGGTGTTGGTAGACTGCAGAAACAGATTCAGCCCTCCCCTTCCTGTTATCACTGGTAAGGTTTTACCGGCTGGAATGCAAACATGCCCATTCAGTTCTTTACAGTCTAAGGTGTTTTCCAATGACACAAGCAGAACTGAATGGCCATGATGAGACTTTATGGTCTGTAGAACTGAATCAGTCAAGAGAGTGCTCTTACTAAGTCCAGTTGGTTCCCCGATCGGGCCCAGATGGTTAAGAACATGAGTAGCAGCAAAGCCAAGACTTGAACTCAGGCTCCTGACACACAGTGTTCCTCCACACTGTCTGGCGCTGGCCGCTCGCTGCATTCGACTTTACAGAAGTTGCTTTGTTCCACTTTTGTGCACAGAAACAAATACTCTATACAAAACCCATTTTTCATCGGACTTAATAACCCTCGAATGGGCTTGATTTTATGGGGTTGTTTTCTGGTAAAGACACTGCAAGCACAGAAGGCTGGCTACACCTGCCTTCACAGAGCTATCTCCTATCCGGCTGACGGTAGCCCTCAAGCCTGTGGGACTGAATTACATGCTGAATAGGTAGAAGTTAGTCGTCCGTCGTTGTGGATCTGCATTTGTCCTCACCAGACACAGACATGCTTACGGGAATGCAGCTGCACTGTGGGGGGCCTCGCCCAGAAAGTACTCAAACTTTCTCTAACGTGGATCCAAGAGAAAACGCCTCCCACCAAAGGGGCCGTCCAGAGGACTGGAGACCGCTTCACTGAGCACTCAGGTTCTTTGGCTGGCCATCAGATCTATGGCTTGTGGATTTCAGAGCGTCCTGGTGGCGGCCATAAAGGGTGGGAAAACAGGTTGTTCAAAGGTACTGTGGCTTTAACCAGGAGAGGCTCAGAGTCCAGACAGACCTCACACTGGCTCAACTGAGATCAAGAAAAGTGCTCAGGCTCAGACGGGACAATCCCCGCCTCTACCAGGAGGTGGCGACCTGGCCTTGAGCCCCACCCCAGTGACTCAGTCTCCAGTCAACAGGGCTATCCTTCTCCACCACGGGGAGGCAGCTCTGGTGGAAGGCGGCCAGTTGCTGGAGTGCTGAGCCTACCTTCTCTTAAAATTTAAAATGGGTTTCTATGTGCAGGGGCGTCTTGCCTAATGTACATATGCACTCACGTGTGCCTGGTGCCCAAAGAAGCCAGAGTAGATCTGATCTCTTATCAGATCCTTTGTAACTGAAGCTACAGATGGCCACGAGCCTCGATGTGCACGCTGGGAATCGAACCCTGGTCCTCGGCAAGAGCAGCCAGGGCTCTTAACCGCTGAGCCGTCTCTCCAGCCACAGTCACCTTTGCTTCCTCTCACAAACTGCAAGTTTATCCATCAGTGGCATGGGAAATACATATATACGTTTTCTAAGCCTTTTCCTTCCCTACCCTCAGTCAGAACTGCACACCAGTGTGAAAGGAGTGAGTGTGAGGGCTGGAGGGATGGCTCAGTGGTTAACCCACTGGCTGCCCTCCAGGAAGACCCGAGTTTGGTTCCCAGCACCACATCAAGAGGTCCACCTGTAATTCCAGCACCAGGGGATCCGACACCCTCTTCTGGCCTCTGCGCATGCGCGCGCGCACACACACACACACACACACACACACACACACACACACACAC